GGGGGACTGGTTCACTAAAACACTGAATTTCATTAGGTTTACAGCTTTGACAAGGAGGGTCCACAGATACTTTATTATCACCACCTGGCTGAAGAGGCCAGGGAATTTGGGGTCACTGGGACACCAAGGGTAATAAACAGAGATTAGATCTAAAAGCCAGCAAGAGGAAGACAACTTCAAAGGCAGGCCCATATACAGACACACAGACAGTTTAATTAGCCAAACGGAAAGCCATGTCTATATAGTACAGTTAGTTAGTAACAAAGAAAGAAGTGAATGTAGGAATTTAGACAGAGTAGAATTTCCTCCCTCTTTAGGAAGCTGCCTTTCCCATTGGAGCAGAAAGGGCGCAGGAGGAGGACGGATGGATAGATGGACCAATGGAACAGCACGAGAGGACCAGACCAGCCTACAATGGCACATTTGAAATGGTATAAAATCAACTGAATGGAGGAGGACAGTGTTCCACTGCTCTGAAGGCAGATTGAACGGTTTTGTTTGGTAGGGCTTCAGATAGATGGAACCCAGAGCTCTGTAAATTGCTTTATTCGAAGGTCCATTCAGTTATGATAATACATGTTTGAAAGGTGATATTTGACTCTGATTATTCTTCATAAAAGAACACGCTGCACTTTGTGATGAAGTGTTCGAATGATTCATGTTCTCCTTGCATCGGTTGGTGGAACTTGTATCTTGCATATATGGGGTTGGCCCTGGGTGTGATATATACTGTGTACTTATTATAATACGTCTGTAGCTTTTGGATTGGCAGTAGGTTCGCTACTCTGACACCATGTAGTATTCAATGTATTTTTAGTGGAAGGCTTGTATGTTGTTAAATAAAATCTGGATATCGGCTGGTTGTTTTTACTCATTCTTTAATGTCAGCCATCTTGACTTACACACCTTCCGTCCGATTTCCGGAGGCTTTTCCTATACAATGAACTCATATGAGCACTTACAACTAAGGTTGCCATCTGGTAGCCAGGATGTTACAGGTGGTACACTTCAACACACATACACACATTCAAATGCATAGTATCAGCTAGCTTATGCACAACTGTAAATAAACTTCCTCAACATCGCATCTAACTTTTTTTAACAATCGTAGCAAATGTTAACTATACTATCTCAACTGACACATATAAGAACTTATGACATTGCTTCTATCATGTTTCCTAGCGGATGAGAATGGATATACAGTGAGGAACAGAAGTATTTGAACACCCTGTGATTTTGCAAGTTCTCCCACTTAGAAATCATGGAGGGGTCTGAAATTCACATTGTAGGTGCATTCCCACTCTGAGAGAATTAAAAAATATTTCAGGAAATCACATTGTATGATTTTTAAAGAATTTATTTGTCTTGCACTAAATGGTTCTTGGGCTGTGTCCCCCTTGTTTAACTTATGGGTCAATATCCCGAGTGACTTCCTCCTTAGATGGGGAATGGATAGCTGCAGCCTTATGTGAACTGTTTGTGTGCTCTGTTCAGGTTTAGAAAAAGGAAATGTGCGCTAGGTCAATGTGACCTAGAAGTTCATGTACTGGACAGCTTAAACAATGCTCGGAAGAAGGTGTGTGGGTAGCTGGCATGGGATAGCGTCTTCATGGCTCAGGCCATGGAGGGGTGTGTAAGTGTGAGCAGATAAAAAGCTGGGTTAGAGCAGAAGAGAGGATGACCATGCTACAGTGAAAGGTGTACCGTAGACGAAGAATGACAACTGACTGTGGGTTGACAGAAAGACTGACTCGTCACCAACAACAACTGACTGGACTGACGTTTTTGACAATCTTCTTAGTTGACAATCTTCTTATTTAATACTTTATCTATTTCATGGCAGGAGGAGTGACTCTGGTCTCTGTTCTCTGTTCCCTACCAGA